ATCGAATGATTTTTTTAAATAGATCCTACAAGTAGATTTTAATCGAGTGATTCTTATAAATTAATCCTGTAACAAATTTCGTAAATAGATTTCAATCGAGTGATTTAAAAAAATTCTATAATAAACTTTACAAATAACTTCTAATCAAGTGATTTTTATAAATAAATCCTGTAACAAATTTCGTAAATAATAGATTTCAATCGATTCTTACAAATAAATTCTGTGATAAATTTTACAAATAAATTTCACGAACTTTCTGAGCATACCACGTGTCTTCCTTCGTTCTCCCCTTTAACGTGCCAATGAAACTCGACATTACACCGTCGATAATAATTAGTCGCGTAGATTCGAAGATCGTATATCGGTCGCTTGGTTCGACGTGAATTCAATTGATGCCCGCTTTTTTTTGAAAGAGTATCGCTTTCGAAAACAGTGGAAACGACGTTTGTTGATGAAATTCTGCGTGTAAAATTGTTGGACAATCTACAGAACGAAGCTCGACTCGTCGATTTACGACACTTACAATTTTTACTAATTGATTACAGCTGAGCGAGCCAGCTGGAGGATCGCCGAAGAAAGTGAGCGAGTGGTCGAGGTCGGGTCACTTGTTCTGGGCTGACCCTGAGAATTGGAGGGGTAGCTCGATAGCGGCGCCGCATCTCGAGCAGGTGCCCTGTCGTCAAGACGACATCGTGCTGCCGAGTGGTAATCGTACATTCAGCGTGCTTCTGCCGGTGAGGAGCATCGAGGTGAGATCGGTCAGAACCACGAGCAACCGCGGGCAATCGTATAGCGCATGGCAGTGGGCAGACATGGACCGGAAAAGGGAGTTCGAGAAGGGAATATTCACGGTGAAGTGCGTCTCCCTTGTCCTTGTACTCTTTGAAGCAAACTTTTCCTCCGTCCAATTATAAATTACAATCGACTTTTTATTAAGTTGTTGGAAACTCTTCAGAAACACGTTAAAAGAAGAGGAAAAGGTAGTGAGACGATGATTTTTAAAAATACACGCATCACTTTTATGATACCTTCCATTTCTGTATATTGTTTTAGAAAACGACGTATATTCTAACACGCACAGAATTTTGTGTCTTAATGCCCAAAACGAAACGAGGTAAATAAGAACTGCTCATGCGACGTAAAATTGTACAGGTACGCGGACTACAGCTGCGACAAATGTCCCTGCCAAGACGATCCGAACGGCTACTATCTGGAAGAGATCTGCGCCATCGAGAGGCCAAAGTGTGGATTCACAGCCTGCGAATATCCTTTATGGGTATCCTTATTATTGTCCAACTAATAAAAATAGTTCGCTCGAGCTTTCTCCTCGTAATTGAAAACGTCCCCGGTTATACTGAAGTGACATTGAAACGTCACGTAGGTGGAGGGCCATTGCTGTCGATACTGTGGCGGTCGAGTATCTTTGACGAAGAAAGCGTCTTTGTCGATGGTTCGAGCGGCGATCGACGAGGCTTTGGAAGGATACGCGACAAAACTCGCCTGGCACGTCAGACGTACCTGGAACGGGCCGGTCGAGCTTCTGATAAAAAAAAGGGGCGATTATTCGGAACTCGATATCCTCGAAGCCACGGAAGACGCGAAGAAAGCCCTTCTAAGTATGTATATTCGGTAACTTACATCTGGCTAGCTTAATCTAGAGATTTCTGGATTCATACTGCAAAGAATGAAATCTTCAGTGACTTTTGCTATACTATATTCTAACGAAATTGCAACTTCATCGTCATTGGGACAACATCATTCTATCTATGACTTTGTAACATCATACTGTTCCTGCCGGTAATTCGTTTTCATTTCTTTTGCAAAGTTTCTTATTTGTTGAGAAGAAAGTATATTCTATAACTTATTATATTATTATTTGAGTAGCTTTGCTTAATCTAGAAATTTCTGAACTGAATGAAATCTTCAGTAACTGCAAAGAATGAACTCTTCAATAACTTTTTGTACTATATTCTGATGAAATTGCAAGTTCATCATCAATATCATTCTATCTATGATTCTGTATCTTCATACTGTTTCTGTCAGTAATTCTTTTTCATTTCTTGGTCTTTTGCAGTTCTTTATTTGTTGAGAAGAAAGCCCTTCTAATAAGTATATTCTATAACTTATTATCATCTGAGTAGCTTTACTTAATTTAGAAATTTCTGAACTGATACTGCAAAGAATGAAATC